ATGCCTGTCAGTGGCATGGAGGGACATCTGTTCATTGCCCATGGTCAGAAATGATTACAGGACCTGGGAAGGGTGGATGGAGGGAGACATGAGTAAAGCTGGAGGAGAAGCTAATTAAAAGCAAGATCTCAGGTCCCTTGTTCTCTTTCCCACTCAGCGTCTGCCCTGCACTTTACACACACAATTTAACACGCACAGGGGAAGCAGAGTGACCATCTCTAATTGTGCGAAAACAGCATTGTGTTTGTTGTCCTGGATGCTGCATCACCCCAGTGGAAATCACTTCCCTGATTAGGGCGCTTGTCTCTGGCCCACCATACAGTGGGGATTTTTGTTTTTTTTCCCCTAATCATATTGAGATGCACACAGATGAGGCTACTGGTTGCAGAAACAATGGGAGAAATAGCACAGGATGATTGCTATGTCCCTGAATTGGCAAAAGCTGCAAGGAGAGAAATAGACCCCTCACAAACCAGAGCCCCAGAGGTGAGATCCTGAAGGTGCTAGCTCGGCCCCTTCATGGCTCTAGGTCATAGATCTCCAGAGCCGCATCTGCTGCAGTACGTGCACCCCCAACACTTACATTTCTGGGCCTGACTCCTGGAGCATTTCCTGTGCCCAAGTCCTGGTGATAGGATTGAGGTCAAACCTAAAACATTGGTATGTTCCCTTGCAGAGGGACAATTTTGACAGCACTGTTCTGCCCCATCATGAAATGACTTTGCGAAATGTGTGGTGGAAAAAATGGGGAGGAACACTGAAAAGCTAGGGAAATCCTGTCACATGTACAATGCCTAAAGCAGCTGAAGGGGCTCTGGTAATACGAGGTAAAATCTAGGGTTCACTGCCCCTGTGCCAAGCACTGTACTAAAGCTTCCCGGCTATGCTCTTGTTTTAATGTTCACAATAGACGTAAGAGTGCTTCTTTTATGGATTGCATTCTCCAGATGAGAAAGGTGAGGTTTACAGACGTTAAAGACACAGGGCTGGAAAGTAGCAGAATTGGAACCAGTCAGTCTGTCTTACAATTTGAACCAAGATTTTAGCCAAGACCCTTCCAGTTGATTATCCAGTGGACACAGGGAGAACTGAAGGTCCTTCAAGATGGGGCCATTTCCTGGTGCCGTGGTTTGGATGTTGAATGCCACCCAGGTCCTATGTGCTGGAGGCCAAGTCCTCAGCGTGGTCCTCCTGGGAGCTGATGGGGACTATGAGAAGCACAGCCTACTGGGGGCTTTGGGTCACTACAGGGATGTCTTCCGGGGAGCTGTGGGACACCACCCACTTCTGCTCTTATTCCCAGACAAGAGGCGAGCTGTGGAGTTCACCACATTCTCCTTGCTCTGGTACTGCCTCATCATGGGACCAAAAACGCAGAGCCACAATGAACCTTCTTGCTTTGCTGATTTGTCTTAGTAGCAGTTACAGTGACCGTGGAGTAGCACACCAGTTATCCAGACTAGATGAAAACGACGACTTCTGCATTTGTTGTAGATGAGTTATATAGTCCAACAAAGTAGTGAGCCCCAATATGCCTGTACCGCCTCCTGCTCATCTCATACAGAACAGCAGCTCTAGGCCTCCGGTTTAAAAAACAAAGTACTTGAGAAAGACACAGTCACAGCCTACAACTTCGGACATGGGAAGGTGATCATGACAAGGACTCCCAACTCCAAATGCAATTCAGAAGTTGGAGAAGGCAGGACGGGTGGGGTGGGAGAAGAAGGGTGCAGAAAGTGTTTCTTAAAAGGTGCATTTCCTTTGGGAAGGGTTTACTTTTCTGTGAATGGGAGTTGGTTGTGAGATGGAGGGCCCTTCTGAAAGCTAAAAGCTCCTTCTCTTCAGAATGAATAGCTCTTTTTGTCTATACACTATTGGCAATTAACGGTATACACCATCTCATACCATTGCCTTCACTACTTTCACACGAGAGTATGACTGTCCTCAGCCTTTCCTGTTTAACTCCTCGGGTGCTATCAACCTGACTTTCTAACTGTATGGTAAACTCCTTAAAGAGGGGTGGGGATGAAGTTTTCAAAATGCTTTTAACACTTACAGTGCCAGACAGAGGTCTTAGTCCATAGTTATTGGTTGGTAATATGCTTACGCTTTTTTTTTTCTCCTGTGTTGAAGTAAGAAAAGGTCTTACTGGAAGAGCGCAAAGGAGAATCGTAGACAAAGTGAGTTCCCAGCACCCCGAGCTACTTTGCTCACACATCTACTTCTCTGCTGCTCCACCACTCAGTATTCCTAGAATGAGGCCAACAGGAGGGTTCAGAGAAAGGTGTGCAGCTGTGTCCTGTAGGGTGTTGCAGCATGGTAGGAAGGACGGGAAGTCATGTGTGTGATTCCCAGGGATGAGATGGAAGTCCTTGAGTGTCTTGGAGCTGGTAACCACCTCCTCTGTTAATCTGTTCATGTGTTGAGTAAGTAGTCAGTGTTTACTAACAACTGGGATAACTCTTTTTTTGTTGTTGTTGTTGTAAGTACTGAGAAGGTACCCCAGGTCTTTTACACTGAGCTACATCTCGAGCCCCTTTTTAATTTCTCTTTTATTAATTTTGAGACGTGTTCTTGCTAAGTTGCCCAGGCTGGGCTCAAATTCGCAATTGTCCTGCCTCAGCTCCCAGAGTCCTGGGATTATAAGTGTGTGCCACGTTGAACAGCTTCTCCTGAAGTTTGCATCCTAGTGGGTGAGGCAGACATTGGCAAGGTCACCGCAGTGATTATTTAATTGCCAGTGTTATGAAGAAGTAGAAGCTGCTATGAGAGGAAATGCTGGGGTCACAGTGGGGCCAAGAGGGTTGGTGGTCAGACAAGTACTTCCCACACAAGTTTCCTTGAGGCCGGGACTTGAAGGCTGAGGAGAAGCTGTCCAAAGAGAAGAAAAAGAACAGTGAAAAATTCCAGGTGTCCCAGCTGTACAAAAAAGCCAGTGAAATATGGTGGAAGTGGTGGGCTTGAGAGTGCTGCTGGTGCTCAATGAGACCAAACAGAGGAATGGAGCCAGACGACTCAGGAGGTCATGGATATTGTGTGAGTTGCTTTGGTTTCACCATCTTATATTCAACCTCTTCACCATTTGAGGGCGTCTCTCTCTGCATGGTGTCGATTGGAGGCCCAACTATTTTCCAAGTTTCAGCATCAGTCATGAGACCTATGTCCAGCCAATCACTAACCTCCTGGGTCTCTCAATCTGGGGCACGAGATGCACCATGGAAGGAAGAGGGTACTGTTCCTCCACGACGTGGGTTCGTGTGGTGTCAGGCAAAGGGCAGGAGCATTATCTGGTGCTCTGTCCTCCCAGACTGTCCCCTCCATTTGGCCTCCAGAGCGCCCCTTTTCTTCCTATTCTTCAAGTCATGCGGGGAATCTGTGAGCCGACTGTGGTCTTCCAAAGAGCTTCCCTCTCTGCCTAGGACCATTAGAGCCATTCTAGTTTCTTATGACCCAGAGCTTGGATTGATGAGCAAGGGTACAGAGGCTGGCTTTCCATTGACACACATTGGAAGCTGTGAAGGGCTCTACCCAAAGTGTAGCAAGAATGACTCTGAGCATCCATTGAAGTTCTTTATAGTTTTAAAATTACTTCTGCATGATTTATTTGATTTTGGGGCAACCAGAAAGGTGACTATTAGTTTCTCTCTATTTTGCACCAAAAAGAAAACGGAGTTGAAAGAAGCCAAGTGATTTTTCTAATGTGAAACAGCTAATTAATGGTACAGCGAGTGCCAGAGACAAGGGCTTCTGATTTCTAGTGAGTTGCTCTTTCCGTCACCCCAGGCGGGAAGGCAACACCTGTCATGTGGGAAGCCAGAGATCGAATTTCATGACTCCTGTGTCAGAAGCAGCAGGGAATTGTTCCATACACAAAACCGCCTACAGAATCTTGCAGACTCTATGCTCAGACACACCACTGTTTATACTGGATAGGAGGTGCACACGAGAAGAAAAGTTCAATAACCAGAGCGCTGCATGTCTGCAAATCCTTCTCACCCGCAGCTAGAAATTTACAGCTTCCCAAATGTTCTTTGCTTCTAAGATATGAACCTAATGGAGAAGCAAAATTGGAAGCTTGGAATTGTAATATCCCAAACAACAAGAGACAAGGTTTGTTGGAACAAATAAATTTGGTGTTTTCCAGACGTGCTGTTCATCAGCTCACATTTAGAGTCAAATTATAAGCCCTGACATCAATACCTACCTTGGAAGATCATTCAGGATCGGACAAGACAAGGTAGCTCTTTGGGAATTCTTCACACAAAGCCCACTGAGGAGGGTAGGTGCTCTGTCAAACGTCTGTTCCCTTAGCTTGTTTACAGTGATGTTAGAAGGCAGTGCGGATTTGTCCTCTATATGGGTCAGAGGATTTTTTCTTTTCCTTTTGGAGGCAGAGCCTCACTAAGTTTCCCAGGTTGACCATGAATGTGTGATACTCCTGCTTCAGTCTCCTGAGTGCTGAGATTATGGGCCTATGAACCCACACCTGGATTAAAGATGACAGAAAGCCCAGGAGACCATAGTTCAAGTCCAAATCAGTAAAACAGCAGCCACACTATGCACAGGGACTAGAGGAGCACCCACAGGAGCAGCAAGGAAAATAGCAGCCTCTGTGCTCTCAGACTGATCACATTGCTCTGATTTTCTAGTCCTTTACCTGGAACTCACATGACCCTCTCTACTTTCAGGAGTGTTGGAAGAAAGAAATGCCATTTGAAATGAAACACACAGAAATTATTTTTCTGAAAAACAATTGATGATAAAAGTTGAGGGTTTTTTCTCCCAAGGAAAGAAACAAAATAATTTTTGATAAATAACGAGCACTTTCTTCTATGAAAACCAAATATTTTTCTCAAAGCCAATTTTATTATCCTAAATATTTGACAAGTGCAAGCTGTAAGATGCTGAAGGAGTGTAGTCAGCTGTGTAGATTGACTTTTGAAGTGTAAAATAAACCTTTACTTAACAGATGTCAGGACTGTGACTTTGAGAGATAATGACAGTTTTTATAGTGGTTGGTGGCAGAATTTCTAAGGAGAATGAATAAAGTTTTGGTGCCAAGTCTGGAAAAAAATGACAACATGATTATTAACAATTGATGGAGTTGAGGAAAGCAAAAATAAGTGTTTTAATGTATTTGATTAGATAGCACAAATTGTTCCATAAATACCAGGAAAATACATTTTACAAAAGGATAGGCTGTACCTGTGGGTAGGAATTAGAGTTGCTCAAAGACCCTCCCTCCCTCCCAAATTGCCAAGAATGAAGTTGATTTAAAATCAATTCAAAGGCTTCAGACAAGGAATCGAACAGTCACAGAAGAGTTTTTAACAACTGTGCAGGAACAGCAAGGAGCACAAATAAATTCCAACCAGGTGGCTTGGGGTCAGCAGCCACTGCATATGCAAAAGACTGTACATTATTCATCAGGAGTTTTAGCCAAAAGCAAACACCCTACCCAGGGCTCTACTGGGCTCCCTTCTAATATCCTGCAGCTTTCCTCCCTACAACCAAAGCAGCTCTTGGATGCGACTCAGGCCCTGTCCTTCTGGGACCCTCTCGCTCCAGGCCACTCTCCTTCCCCTGAATTTAGGAGTCTTTGTGTCATCTCCACCTCATAGCTCAGCACCAGCCAGGGCTGGTCCCGCAGAGCCAGAATCTGCAAATAGTGTGTTCCATCCACTGTCCTTCCTGTGCTGCTCGTTTCAGTCCTGGGGCACCCAGCTCCTCACTGACATTCCGTCCTGCTCTGGTGATGGAGCCTGGGGAGTAAATTCCATTAACTCCAGGCTATTTGACCTGAAGGCTGAAGCCAAAATCTGCTTGGAATCTCCAGCTCCTCTTTGCTTCCTTTTCTTCAGGGTCTTCCTTGAGCTTTTTGACCTTACAACTTCGGGGACAAAGGAATTAAACCCTCAAATGTGAGCGTTTGTTTTTATCACACGATTCTCCTTACCTTAGAGTAGAATTTCTTACATATTGCACAGATGGATGGATGAGGGAATCAACTCTTTCTGTCTTACTATCTTGGTAGTTTCTGCTCTCATCCTGCGGTCGTCTACACTTCAGTACCGTAGAGGGAGAATTTTACTGACTTGCCCCCTTTACCACAAAAGTTCAGCCCTGGGGCTTAAGCAGCAGAGCTCTTGCTCGGATTTGAGGGAGGAGGAGAAAGTCCAACTGGTTCCCGAGTGGTCACGTGTGCAGGTCCCGTGGCTTCAGCTGGTCTTCGGGGCAGGTCTATCACATATTACTTCTTTTACTCCTTAAATTATGAAAGCATCGAAAGGTTTAGCTTTTTCTATCTCAAATAGTCTTGGGGAAGAGGCAGACTGAAAGCTGGCAACAAATGCTGTTTAATGTAAAAAACAATGAACAAATCAATTCTTGAAGTTTTTATAGATTGCAGAGATAGGACTTACTATGTAATAATTAAGATGAAATTATGAGAAGATGGGGTTTTAAATGGTAAAGAGTCACAGATTTCAAGTTGTTTTTAGAAAAATCTCAGAAATGTTCTGATCTCTGGATTGCAAACAGCATTCCTGCCAGCCAGGATTACTATAAAATATAGGACAATAACACAAATTTTTAAATTTGCTTATCTCTATACTCTGGTTTTATATCTTATGGGAGACTCAATCTTATATACCTCTGGCACATAATTTGCAGAAGAATGATGTGTCTGAGTCTTAAGGTACTGGTCTTTTAAATTCTGGTATGAACAGATTTATAGGTTTGCTGCTGCCTAGGATATAAGAAATTGAAGATGAATATGGTGGTTTTAGTTCTGCTAGCACGTTCTTTTTTTCAATCAACACTGAGATTTAATTTGCATTCAACATAATGAACACATTGCAAGTGTTCAAGAAGCTTTGGTATACGTGTGTGTCTGTATCTGGATACATCTGTCTCTGTGACTAACGCCTCAGTCAAAGTGCAGGGCGTGTCCGTGATCCCCCAAAACTTCCCTGCTTCTCTTTTTTGCTATCATCTTCCCCCCAGAAGTCCCAGCCCAGAAATAACTGACCTGACTTTTTCCACTATTGATTAAATTTGCCAGTTCTACATTTTAATTTAAGTGAAATCAAACAGTATACAATCTTCTGTATCTGACTAATAAAACAAAAGTGAGGACAAAATTTATCAATACCAAATATGAGGAAGAGATCCCTATGGACTCCCCAGGCACTACAATGATAGGAGGGAGAATACTATGAATACTGGTGTATTTTAGCCACTACCGTTTAGTGACTTTTGAAAAGCTTGGATTAAAACTAATAATTTTGACATCTGATTTCCATTTGTTCCAGTTGTTCTTTGTTCGCTGATTTCTTCTAACTTCTCTAGGTTTTAACAATTACAATTTGATGTTTATCTCCTTTATCAATTTATTACTTGACTTTACCGCTAGCCTTAAAAGTTACAATATACAATTAATAATAATTTGTGTCTCTCTTCAAATAAATCACACCATTTCATGAGTTGGGAAAACACTTTGTAATATAAAGTGCATTAAATATAATATATTGTTGCTATTTTTACCTTGCAATTTTCTTTTAGCGCAATTAACAATTAAAAATAAATTGTTTTTTGCCCCCTTTTATTCCATCACTACCATTCTTCGTGTCTTCATGTAGACTCAGGTTTCTGACTTTTTTGCTTTAACTGCTGCTAAATTTTGTTGTTGGTTTGATTTTCAGCGGTGGGGCGTGTGTGTGTGTGTGTGTGTGTGTGTGTGTGTGTGTTATCTGCTTAGAATTCTCTGAGTTTCTTGGATCTGTGATTTGGATCTTGGATTTTGTTAATTTTGGAATATTGTCTACTATCATTTCTTCAAATATTTTCTCCTCATTTCTTGCTGGTCTCCTGGAATTTCTATTATGTCGACTTTCAGTCATTTTATGTTGTCTGAAATTCCTGGATATTAGGCTCTGGATTTTTGTTTTTATTTTACCATTTTCTTTTCTTTTTTCTTTCTTTTTTTTTTTTTCACTGTAGTTTGTAAGATTTCTATTGATTTTCTTTCCATGTTCAAGTTTACTACTTCCTTCCTTGGCTGTTCAAGTCCACTGTTAAGATCATCAAGAACCAACTTCTTGTGTTTTTTGTTTTCTAGTATTTCCATCTGATTTTATGGTTTACTTCTCTTTGGTGAAATTGCCCATCTGATCTTGCATATTGTCTAAGTTTTCTTTTAGTACTCACATTTTAATCAGAGTTATTTTAAATTGCTTGTGATTGTTTAATGTCTAAGTTGTGCTTTTGACTGGCTTTGATGATTGCTTTGAATCTTAAGGTGTTTTTTTGTTTTGTTTTTTGGTTTTTTTTTGCCTCTTCTTATGTCTTATAAACATTTTGTTGTTGTTGTTGTTGAAATCTGAGTGTGTCCTGGAGGGCAGAAGTAAAATGTATAATAAATACTGGAAAATGAGAAGAAAATGTTCAAATGGGAAAGGGAACAAGGGATGAGGGAGGGAGAAAGGACGGAAGGGACAAGAAAAAAAAGAAAATAGAAGGAAAATGGAAACAAAGCTTCCGTACATAGAGAAGGGAGGGGGCACAAGCTGGGAGAATGGGATAAAATAAAAGTTTTTTTTAAAGTACATGTCTTTCCAGCCAGAGACTTGATGTAGGGGTTTATATTAATTACCCAGGAGTTAGGCTGGGTTTGAGGTGTGGTGCTGCTGTATCATCTCCAGTGAGCAAAAGCCTCAGATTCTTACCACTAAACCATGCTGGAGGTGTGGGCTAATTTGCCAGAGGGTTTTTAAAAAAATTACATTCATGTTCTTTCCTCAGTGTCACTTTCTTTCTTGACTCTGAGTCTTCCTTCTGTAGCGTTCCCCAGAGAAACTCTATCTCTCTTAGCAATCTCTGCAGAGGGCTCCATTTATTCAACTCCTCTGGGCCCAGTGGGGCCTGGAGAAAGGAAAGCATTGTCTGAGGCCATGGCCCTGCCTACTCTGAGGCAGGCACTGCAGGTTGGACCTAGGAGATGAGGCATTTACAAATACGCTGGCCTTCGCCACCTGGAATCCTGGGCTGCCTCTTCCCAGGGGCACAGGTTCACTTTTTCTCTTCCGGAACTTCCTCCATCTTCCATGAATTTTCACCAGTGCCCTGCAATGCTCTTTTCCACTGCTCTTTCCCTGACAATTACGGTTTGGGTCCCGTAGAAGAACTGAGAAAGAGGAGTTTGGATAGTTTCATCTACAGCTAATATTCTTTTCCCCAAGTCACGGAACAGAGGACTTTCCTCAGAGCCTCCCCGTCTTCTCTGTGAACGCCTGGCAGAGTGCATGGAAGAAAGACAGCAAGAGGCCACTGATGCCCCATGGGTGGGGCCTCAGCAGTTCACCCGCATTTCCAGATGCACGTGACCCTCAGCATATGTTTGATACTTATTTCTCCCTTCATGTCCCCAGATTTTGACTCTATTCTTTTTTGCGCTACTATGTCAGATACCAAATGGAGTCAAGAAAAAAACATTAATTCCCCCTTTGGTCCATTTAATTTTTGTTATTGTAAGGATGGAAACAATGTTTTCTCCAGCTCTCTGTGTCTTTTTAAAAATGTTACTTTTATTGATACATGTTTGCAATGTATAATTATTGCATTTTTCACGGGCAGTTGGTAGATGTGTATAACACTTCTTAATTCTTTTTCATCCCCTCTCCTTCACCTCCTCCCATTTATCTTTTGGTCTTCCCCCATTTGCAAAAGGTCAATCTCCCTATTCTCTATTATCTATCTTTCATTCTCACATAAGCATACTATATTTAAATTTGCATGTCTGATCTATTATACTTAGCACTATGATCTCAAGGTGCATCCATTTTCCCACAAATAACTGAAGCTTATCTTTCTTTATACCAGAGTAGTACTGCATTGTGTGAATACCATATTTTCTTCATCCATTCTTTTGTTGTTGCTTTCAAGATTTAGCTATTATGAATTATGTTGCTATAAACATGGGTATGCATATAGCAGTGCAATATGATGTCTTTAACTCTTTGAGGGAAACACCTAGAAAAGAAATAGCTCACTCAAATAGAATTTCTAGTTTTCATTTTTTGAGGAGTCTCCATACTGATTTCCATAGTGGTTTTACTAGATTATGTTTCCACCAAGAGTCTCACAAGTATTTATTATTATGTGATTGTTTTATGTTAGCCTTTCTTTCCAGAATAACATGGAATTTTAGTGTTATTTTAATTTTCATTTCTCTAATGACCAGAGATGTTGAACAGTTTTTCATGTATTTATTGGCTTTTTGTACTTCCTCTGAGAAGTGTCTATTTATTTCAGTTGCCCATTTCTTAGTTTGGTCCTTCATGGGGGAGGTCTAATATTTTGAGTTCTGCATATATTCTTGACATTAGTCCTCTGTCTGAGAAGTAGCTGGAAAAACTTTTCCCTTCTGTAGGTTGGCTCTTGACTCTGTTGGGTGTTTCTATTGCTGTGCAGAAGAAGCTTTTTAATTTGAAATGATACCATTTGTTGATTCTTAGTAGTATTTCTTATACAACTGAGATTCTTCTATTCAGAAAGTCCTTGCCAATCTCTATGTCTTCAAGAGTTTTATCTATTTTATCTTTCAGCCCATTCATTTTTATTTTAGTTTAGAACATGGTGAGTGATACAAGGTCTTGATTCAGTCTTCTGCATGTGAATATCCAGTTTTCCTGCTAAAGAGGCTATCTTTCCTCCAGCATATGTTTTTGACCCCCTTTCAAAGATTGGATAGCTAAATGTGCCTAGAGTTGCTTCTGCATCCTCTACTCTGCTTTGTTGATCTACATTTCTGGTTTCTTTGCCAGTGACATGCAGTTTTTAGATCTTTTTTCCCCCCCAGTACCAGGTATTGAACTCAGGACCTTGCAATTGTGAGGCAGGCATAGTGCCACTGAGTTAAATCTCCAGCCATTACCATGCTGTTTTTATCACTGTAGGCTTGTAGAATAACTTGAAGTCCTGGATTGTAATGCCTTCTGCTTTGCTCTGTTGCTCAGGATTGCTTTTGGTTTTCTGGGTCTCTTTTCCTATATGAATGTTAGGATTTTCTCTAGTTGTGAGAGGAAAGCTATTCATATTTTGATTGGGATTGCACTATATTTATATATCAGTTTTGGAGGTATGGTCATTTTGACAATATTGGTTCTGCCTATTCAGTAACCAGAGATATATTTCCATATTCTGGTGTCCTTTTCAATCTCCTTTTTCAGATTACTGTACTTTTTATTGTTAGAGGTCTTTTACTTCCTGGGTTGTAGAGGTCATTAACTTCCTGGGTTAGATTAATTCCCAAGCATTTAATTTTTCTTGATGCTATTGTTAATAAAAGCAAAAATCTGTCCTACTTACTTTTCTTGTTATTGAAACAAAACACTCAACACCCAAAGTTCAAGGAGGAAAAGTTTAGTTCAACTCACAGTTTGTAGAGATTTCCTTCCACAGTTGGCTGGCTCCAAGGCAGGGTGTGATGACAGAGGAGCATCACAAAGGAGAAGCAGTCCATGGTGTGGCAGGCAGGAGGCAGCAAAGCAGCAATCAGCAGCAGCAGCAGCAGCAGCAGCAGCAGCAGCAGCAGCAGCAGCAGCAGTTGTGAGCTTATCTTTTCCTTCTATCTCAAACAGGCTACAACCTTTTTGGGTGGCGCAGCTTATACCCAGGAAGATGCTTCTGTTTTCAGTAAATATATTCAGCCACATGGAGGACTATGCTAATTCCAATCAGTGGACTATTTTAGTATCACATCCTTTAATCTCAGTATCACACACCCTAGATCTAGCCAGCTCTGAAAAGCCCCATCCCTGAGCACATGAGGCTTTGAGGAACACTGTCTATTTTTGTGTGTTAACTTTGTATCTTGCTATGCTACTGAATTTGGTTATTAATTCTAAGAGTCTTTTGGTGGAATTTTGGGGGGTCTTCTATGTAGAGGATCATGTCATCTGTAAATAATAATTTGACTTTTTTCTCTTCTATACATACCCCTTGTATTTCTTTCTTGTTCCTGTCTGGCCAAGGTTTTGAGTATTATATTGAAGCAGACCTGTGATTGTGGACATACTTATTCCTAGTTTTAGAAGGAAAGGTTTTGCATCTAATAAGATATTTGCTATTGGTCTTTTATCTTTTAACTGAAGCCAGAAGGCCTGTGTACCAATTTTAAATATTTTACTGAATTTGCATTCCTGGGATTAACTCCAACTGGTCCTAATGGTTATTCTTCTTATACATTATTGAATTCACTTTCTAGCATCTTGTAAAGGAGGTTGTTTTACATCTTCATGAGAGATACTGTTTTATAAATTTCTTTCCTTAAAATTTCTTTGACAGGTTTCTGTGTCAGGATCATGATAAACTTTTTTTTTTTTTTAAAGGAGTGGAAGGTGTGTGCCATCTTCTTAATTTCTGAAAGATATCATTTCTCTCTTGGTCATTTTCTCACTGCTGAAACACATCAATTAAATAAGAAGTGGTTTATTTTAGCTCATAGTTACAGTCTGTGATCAGCCAGCTCCAAGGCAGAAAACAGCATGGCAGAGGGGCACAGTAGAGGAAAACCTACTGTCTTTATGATGTCGTGACTGTCAGAGAGCACAGAGAGGAGGAGCCATGGAGGGACACACACACTCCCCCAGTGACCTGCCACTTGAGTGTGTTCCAGAAGCACACTCAGATGCTGAGCTCACATGCAGTGATTCCACTGAGGAGTCCAGCATCTTCATAATCCAGTCACCTCTGAAAGCCCCAGTTCTGAACACATGAAGCCTTTGGAGGACAGTTTTGGTCTAAGCCATAACAATTTTGTACTTCAGAATTTGGTAGAACTTACCAGTGGGGCCATCTGGATCACATCTTGGTGTACCTTTGTGGTGGATGGTTTAACACTGCAGTGTCTCTCATAGATGTAAGACAATTCAGATTTTCTATTTCTTTTTAAATCAGTTTTGTGGCTGTTAAGAAATTATTTTACTTCTAGGTTATAAAAGGTGTTTATAAACATTTGAGATCATACCACATTATTATGATTGTTATGGTTGTAAAGTCTGCAGTAATATTTGAATCCCACTCTTGAAATTATCTAGATTCTTCTTTCTTGATTAGTTCTCCTAGGAAATTATCCTACTTTGACATTTTCAAAGAACTGTTTTAACTTTGTGAATCTATCATTTGTCTGGATTATATTAAATTCTGTTTTTATTACTTTTTTATTTTATTTACTTCCAGTTTAACTTGTTCTTTTATTCTAACTAAAGTGGAGATTTGGTTATTAACTTTAAGCTTTTTTCTTACTAGTAAAACATTTGAAATAAGTTTTATTTTAAGCATATCTCTGGATATGTACTACCAATTTTTGAATGCTGTGTTTTCCTTGTCAATCAATTCAAATTTTAAAGTTTCCCTTTTAATTTAAAATTCTAATCTATGGATTATTTTGAAATATCTTATTAACTTTCCAAATATTTGTATATATGTATATATATATATATATATATATATATATATATATATATA